ATTCCTATAATATTAATATTAAAAAAAATTTAAATAATAAATTAATATATTTAAAATCATTTTTTATTTTAATTTTTTATTTATATTTATTAATAATATTATTCAAAATCTATTTTAATGTATAGCTTAAAATTTTAAAAACATTTTCTAAATCTTTAAATGATTTTTTTATTTAAATTTGAAACATGATTAAACTTAATTAAGTTTAAGAAAACCTATTAGAAGTTTAGATAAAAATATTTATTATAAACAAATAGTTTAATCTTAAATATCTTAAAACTCAAATTTCTTAAAAATAGTTTTTTTAGAAAATTATTTTAATATTTATAATTTTTTATATTTGAATTCTTTAAAATAATTAATAAGTTTTATTTTTATATTTAACTATATATATTTGTAAAAAATAATATATAAATTTTTAATTAAAAAACATTATATTTTTTGTATTCACATATGGGAGCTTTGCAGTAGAAAAAAAGGAAACTCTAAAAAATTTTTTTTTTGAATTAATATTAGATCTAAACTTATTTAACTAAAATAATCATAATTAGCTTAGAAAATAAAAGTTTATTTTTTTAGAGTTTTCTTCCTTTCTACTGCAAAATTCCCATATTTTTCAAATAATTATATGATTATTTTGCACAAAATGAGAAAATTGAGAAAATAAGAAAATATTAATTATATATTCAGATTTTATATTAATTTATAAATTTTTTTTTTATAATTTTCTTTCTTTCTATTATAAAACATTTTACTATTATAATTATTAAAATATAATATTTATATTATAAATAAATATATAAATTTAATATATAATTAATTACACTTATTTATAATTACATAATTTGTAAAATTAAAAAAAGTTATTATAGATAAATTTAAAGTATAAATGAATAATTTAAAAAGATTTACATTTAACTAAAAATTTTTAATATAATTTATATTTTTAAAATTTAAATATACTTTATTAGGTTTAGAATAGCTTATATCAAATTTAATTAAATATTAAAGCATCTAATTTTTTTTATAAACTTATAGAATCTACTCTTGTAAATTTTTTGTATACAATTTATTGTACTTTTAATAAAGAAGTTGAAGTTTATTTATTATAAACAAATGGTTTTTTATTACAAGTATTAAAACTTAAGATCATTAACAAATGATTTATTATTCAAAGCCAACTTTTGTATTATTATATATACTAATTTACAATATGTATTACTTACTTACTACAAACACTTTTATCATCATAAAAAGGAATAACGCATATTTTGAAAATCGATTTCCAACATGCATTTCTGCTGTCGATTTACATATGATCAGGTAAAGATTTGCACGTTGTGCCCTTTATTTATTCTTTTAAAATCAATTTTTTAATTTTTTAGAAAAAACAACCATCTTGCTTCGTTAACCTTGAGTTATTAGAATGTAACAAAAGAGATTTGAATACAAATTTGAAGTAATGATGTAAGCCACGTCGAACAATATGTAAAAATCAGACAGCCCGAATCGGGAATAATTATATATGCACAGGCAGATCTCATGTTGAATATAATATTAAATAAGAACAATAAGAATAAATCGAAATTTTATTTTTGAAACCTTTGGGCGCGAATTATGTTATACCAACTTATTTGGTACTTTAGACTATTATATTAATTGCATATTTCTCCCCATAATGTTAATTATAGTAATTTTTTTTTCACACACTGCTCTATAAATTTTACTTAGAGCCGTTTTAAAACTTTTGTAAATATCAATTTTTATTAATATATATACTTGCGATACTTGCGGATTTCCGAAATCCTTTCATTAAAAAAAAAAAAGTGGGCTTATCAACAAAAGTCACAGAGAAAGATATTTATAATGTGTCAATGCAATGAGAAATTTGGGATATATAATATGTATATTAAAAGTTATTATAAGTAATATAATAGATTAGAAGAAAGAAATTCACATAATAAATGTTTTCGTGCTATCGTTATCTACACAAGTTGAACAATATAATTTACATCTTCGATCGATAGGTGATTCTAAATTTTACCTACAAAAAGTCTTAAACAATTAACGATGCTGCAGTAAACCAGTATATTCTTATTTAAGGTAATTATGATTGATTAGAAGCATAATCTATATATGATATCTACGAGAATATCCGAATAGAAGCCGTTTTTGATTATCAAATAAATACATATATTTTTTTGACGTCTAGAAAGAGAATCCAAAGAAACTTCACATAATACTAGTATTACCTTTTCGAATTTATTTATCCTAAATATAATATGTGAAAATGTTGTCCGTTTCTATGTCGTAATGATAAATTTTCAAGTTACTTGCTATCTTTTAAATCGTTGATTTTTTTAAGGAAAAGGCGTATTTACGAGTCTTAAAATTAAGCTTAAATAAGTACGAAGATCTTTTATTATTACCTTTTTAAAAAAAAGAAAAGATCATATTTCTAAAAAAGATACTTAAAAGAAAGCATAGGACTTGTTTGTTTGTTTACTATTACCATTTTTCTTAAATAACATTGCACATAATAAATGTCTATAATGGTAGATAAATAAAAATAAAAGATGCTATTATTAACGTTCCATATTTGGAATAATTTTTAAAAAATAATTTACATTTTTTTATTCATTCATTGTTTGTTAACACGGAATACTTTAATGGATGAAACATGTTTGGGCGATCGTTGACATCATCATTATTATCGATATGTATCCCAAATGCATAGTAATTTTCTTATCAATTCAATGTTGTTATCTTAAACTTATTTTATTCTCATTGTGCAAAGAACTTCAACGCCACCAAATTTCTTTCTTTGTGTAAAAAAAAAAAAAAAAAAAAAAATAATAATTTCATGCAAATGACTATTTTATAATGGATTAAATTTTTACAATTTTGCAGATAATCTCGAAAATTCTTTAGAATGTCAAATTTTAATTCAAACAAATATGGTTAATCTTCGGTTACTCCAGTTGCTTTTGTATCTGTGGGATGGTGTAATAAAAAAAAAAAATTTTTTCATCTGTATTTTTGACAGGTGGCCATTATTATACCATTGTTTCTTATCTACCGAGTCAAATAATACAACCCTTTTTCGTCCTCTTTGTTCTTTCTTTTTTTTGTTTTTTTATTGTTTTGAATAAGTAAAGAACCGGTTGATTACAGTATATGCTTAATGATGTTCCAACTTAAAAAGACAAAATTTTCTAAATTAGATAACTCGTGATCTCACGTTGATATCATGAATATATAACGTTTTGGTTCTCATATGAAAATGTCTTTTCAACCAAATACTTGGTAACATATTTTTAATTCAAATTTTTGAAAATGACAGCTTTTTCTTATTACCTGAGCAACGATAATGCAGAATTTTTACACAGGAACGATAGAGGCGTTTTACACTAAGTCTTTAATGGGTATTATCTCAAAAAAAAAATCAAAAAAGTACAAGTGTAAACATTCCCCCGCGTTCCCCTTCACTTTCACGTTTTACACGGTCAGCATGTGATCAAATGATGCACGTACGAAACAGGAAAATACGTCTGATACTGCATGTTGACAGATAGAAAAGAAGGCAATCAAATAACAATTGAACATTCATCGAAAAAAAATTATAATGAGATAATAAGGTTTTTGGGTCCATTCTTTGTCAATCGCATCGAAGATGGCAGAAAAATAAACAATAAAACTAGTCTAACCAAAAAAAGACGCGAGAGAAATGTGTGAAAATAATCAGGTTCATATATGAATTGCTTTACTGCATTGACTTTAAATTTTGACACTTTTCGTGTTTTTATTTCCGTGAATCAATCGCACAAAGAGATCATAAAATATATATATTTTAATGCTTTGTCTAATTTATAGTTCGATTTTCATAGAGAAGAAGTGAGATGATGTAATTGAAACTATTGAATTTACCTGTTTAAACCCTTTTTGGGTTTTTTACATCTCACAATCACCTTATTATTATTTTTTTTTTTTCCATTGTCGTCAGGACAATCCATATAATAGAACATATGCTTACGAATAGAACGTGGCAAACTCTAAAAAAGTTCAATCCGCCATTTATGCTAATTCCGCCACTAATTCGAAGAGATAATGTAGGTATTTATATGCATGCGTGATACATATTGTATGATAAAAAAAAAAAATTTTTTTTTTTTGATAAATTTGTCTCAAAAAAAAAAAAAAAAAAAGGATGGATATGGAAATGAGGGGACGAAATGTGAAGTTAAGTAAAAGCAAATTCACGTCATTTCTCCTATCTACTTATTCATCCGAATAGAAGGAAGATAAGTATCATTGAGCAGTGCATCACAGCATATTTATTATTGATGCAGAAAACGAAAGAGAAAAAAAAATGTACATTGACTCATTAACATACATTTTCCTCCAAAAATTTTTTTTTCAAAGACATTAATTTCGACTCGGAATTGGAATTATATCTAAAGGTATTCTTGATATCCTCCACTTCACTTTTTCTCACTAAGATATACTAGGTGGTCGCGTTTTAATTTTTACCTACATGCTCATAAGCGGATTTGGTGAAACACCTTGCGAAAACATTTTTTTTTTGTTACAATACCACTTATAATGTTATATTTTCAATTTTCTTTGACAGTTAAAGTTATGTACAACCTAAAGATAAACAACCGCTTTCACATGTCAAAAAAAAATTTTTTATATCAATTGCAATTAATTTTTCAACGATAAGAGATAAGAATTGTACAAATATAGTATCAGATAGGGAAAAAATTTTTTATAATATTTTTTTTTATATATATTATCGTAACACCGCATAAAATGTCACATATGAATATATTTCTTTCAAATTCATTTAATGCATTGGGGTGATGGCAAACTCATCAAAAGGTCCATAAATTGAGTTTATAAATTATGTTCTGCAAATTTGTTGTCGATAAGAGCAGTCGAACCTCATTCCCCACCGAACATTCCTAAACCTTTAATAACCGAAATTTGCTTACGTAATAATGTCTTCTTTCGCTCTCTCTAATATAATTAACAGCCCAACAGAAGAAATCACCGCGTCGGTTAATAATGATAATAACCAAAGCGATCCCAACATGAATTCTCCATCATCAAATGGCAATAGGGCCAGAACTTCCCGAAATTATATGTGCACTATGTGCGGCAGAGGCTTTGGCCGTTTAGAACATTTGAACCGCCATATTAGAACTCACACGGGAGAAAAACCTCATAAATGTACTTGGAACGGGTGCGAAAAGAAATTTTCGAGATCCGACGAGTTATCGAGACATAAGAGAATTCATGAAAACGCGTTTAAAAGAAGAGATCGTAACAAAAAGACAATCGCTTTGTCGTTTAGAAATTTGACGGCTTATATTCACAACCAATCTCAACATGAAGGAAATACCTCCATAACTTACATTTTCACTGATTCGACCACACAACCTAATTCATCATGGCAGAAACCATTTAATTGTCCCATTAATGGATGCACCAAGTCATTCTCACGCCATGGTCATCTTTCTAGACATGTTCAGTCCTGTCAATCAAAGCGAAATCGTAAAGAAACCTCGGAGAAATCAATCACACCACCAAGTTCAGATGTAGAATCCACAGCAGAATCACCAGAGTTGCCTTCTACATATCAACCAGAGCCCGTTATTGTTGCTCCGAGACCTTTATATGCGAAACCTCAACCAGTGGAATGTTCAATGAGGTCGTACCCTACCGTACCTGCTCAAATGTGGACACTCCCGAATTTGCAACCAACTTTGCATCATAGTAATAGTATCCGTGAAATCATGGAGTGTCCATTAGAAGGTGGCGCCAAACGGACCCTTCCGCCACCAATTTCTGATACTTACAATACCATGGAGAAAAAATTACCCTCTCTTTCTCTTTGGTAAAAAATGAACGTTTCTCCCTCTTTTCTTTTTTTAACAAAATAAAAATAAAAATTATTTATCCCCCTCCCCCATTGTTTATTATGTTTCCGTAATTTATGACAGACCTTTTTTTTTTTTAAAAAAAACATGATTAAATTCCCATCAAAAAAAAAAAAATATTATTATCATTTTAAATATATATATATACTCACTTTTATGATATCGTTTTAAAATATGCATGCATTATAAAGACGTCAAAATGTTTCTTTAATTTAATATCATTTTTTTATGCTGTATGATTTTTTTGCTCCCCCTTTCTTTTTTTTTGTATATTTTTTAAAATTTTATTATACGTCACCGATTTGAATTCGTGGATCATTTTTGTACAATTCCGTCTTTTTTATTTTATTTTTTCGCTGTTAATATTTCTTTTTTTTCTTTTTAAATGTAAAATTCATTAAAAACTTATAATATTCCTTCTCATTAAACTTGAGAAATTTATGTACAAAAGATTTTTTCTGATCTGTCTCAAAATTTCCCGAAAAAAAATTTGGCCAACTTACTTTCTTTCATTGTCAAAATTAATTTCTTGTGTTGTGTTGTGTACAGTTTTTTTCGTTTTATTTTTTTTCGGCGAACACAAAGTTAAATTCTGATTTAAACAACTTACAAAAAAAAAAAAAAAAAAAACCAAAAACAAAAAACAAAAACAAAAAAAATTAATAAAATTTTAAGCAGAATACCAAGCAAAAAAAATTATTTTTTTCGTGTAATTGAAAATCTTATGATCTTTTTCGCGTAACAAACAACGAAAATTAGTTTATTGACATTTACGCGTGGGAAAACCTGTCAAAAACGCAATTAATAATAATGAATACTCACGATTTGTTTTTTTTTAAAAAAAAAATTGCTACACAGACTAATGAGTACCTCAATGGATCTTAAAAAAAAAAAATCTCGACAAAAGAAATAATGCTAATTTGAATTTACTAAATCAGGTAATTTTTTTTACAATTAAATAAATAAAAAAAAAATAATGATTTAGCCTGATTTGACGATTGAGAGAAAAAATAAGAGATATATACAGTAAATGTATAATATAATATATTATATATATGGATTTATGGATATGATAAAATGATTTGACGCGATTCATTTTGTTATTAATTCATCATATAAAAAAAAAAACATTTTTTTTTTAATGTGCGACTTTGAAAATAGTTGTGTTTTTTTTTTTATTTTGACATTTTTTATTATAGTCATTATTTAAAAAGTTATAGATTATTTAATAATAAAAAAAAAATGCAGAATTTTTGATGACAAGTTTTAAAAAAAATTATTAAATTATCGTGCGTGATGGCAGATCTTTGTTTTGAGAGGCGTGTTGTCACGCGATGAATCTTCGGGTTTTAAATTAAGAGCGTGGGTTTTTTTTTTTGGTTACAAAGAAAATGTGACTATCCCACTTATCATTTAAAGAGAGAAAAAAAAATTATCTAATTATTTTTTTTTTCATATTTTTTTGATCTAAACTTATTTTGTGAGGTGTGTTACTCAGAAAAAAAATCTTCGATGAATATATATATATATTCTCACACTTACACAACATAAATGTGTGTGGGAGAATTTACAAAATTAGGAATTATAGAATAACGATAAGGGTTTTGCATCTTAAGTTACTTTTTTTCTTCATTCACATGTCATTTTACATTTTGGAATAAAAATTACATCCACGTTTCGCTTTAAACGGTGAATTAGGTAATATGGGGAACAAATTTCGTGGAAAAAAAAAAAAAAGACACAGAAGACACGGAGAATCGTGTGTGGTGGGAAAATCACTTGATTTTAACTGCACGATATTTAATGCTTATGGTCATTGAAACAATAAAACTCCAACAATGAAAGAAAATTGAATTTTTTTGAACACGAAAATAAGCCAATAAAGATCAATTTCTTTTTTTGATCGATTTTGTAATTTCTTCACATATGGTATATTATTTTAAACAGAATGGATTTACCTTTTTTAATTTAATACTAATAAATAAAATTCACGAGGTTGGTTACATCAACCCATTATCTCCATGGGACTATGCATTGGGTTTATTAGTAATGGATTAAATATTATAACAAGAAATACTTGTGTGTATAATTGCATAATTAACCTTATCCGTATTATTACATTAATAAATTTGTACAAGATATACTTTACTCATTTATTATTTTTTTTTATAAATTAATACTGGATTGTGATACAATATATAATATTGTGTATTTTCAGTTGTGATAATATATACCTTTGATGGTGACGATTGAAGCAAGTAATAAATAAATCATACATTTTAGAGAATTTTAAAAACGATCGAATTCTAATAATTTTAATAATAATAATAACTAATGCTAAGAGCATAATTTGTCAAGATTATAGTGACTTAAAAAGATGGAAAAAAATACATTAAGTTCAATAGAAAGAAAGGGTTGAAAACCACATTAATTTTTTACCTGCTAAACAAAATTCATCGTGACAGGGAAGAGTATTTTTTTTTTAATAATTTTCCTTTTTTCTGGATTGTCTCGCTTTCCTTCTCTCCTTTAGCGGGATCTTATTTTGATCGCATAACCTATCTCTAGTTCACTTACGATTGAGGTTTTTCTATCGATGTTAATCAACGCTCCTGACATTGAAAATTTAATTTTTGATATCAATTTCTATTGCTTTTATTGTTATTTAATATAATTGATGAAAGCATTTTTTGATATGTAAACATGTTATTTCGCACTTGATTTTATAATGTCAAAGATATTTTTGATTTAAAACTAGTAATAAATGAAGAGTCCCAAATTTTGACGGTATAATTAAGTTGTCGATGCGAATATTTTTCTAATATGAAAAATGATATTTAAAAAATTTTACTACCAATCATAATTTTATATTTGAATCTTCACATTAATATTTTAGTTTTAATTAAATCTTTTTAATTATCCTTTATCATATCGATAACTTTATTAAAATATAAAAAAATTTGTAACATTTTTATAATTATTTAAATTAATTAAAAGTTAAATCTTAAATTTTTTATTTCATCTATAATTTTCAAACTTAATTATAAAATTAATTATTATATTTAAAATTTTGAAGATGCTAAAATTCAGTTATATATTCAAAAGTTTTAATTATATATAATTTGTAATTTATATAAAGTTGATTTATAAATAATAATTTAATTAATTTAAATGTGATATTAATTATAATTCAAATAAATTTATTTTATATACTTAATAATATCGGTTATTAAAATCAGAGTTAATAGTTAAGTTAATTATAAAAACTTGATTTTAAAATTTTAAGACATGATTAAATCACTAAATATTTAACATTTTGAGAAATTTTAATAAATTTAAAATAATCAAATAGAATTGTAACAAGTTTAATTCTAACAATAATCTATCCTATAGATTATCTAGCAGGTCTAAAAAAATTAAATTCTTAATAATATTATTATTATATAAAAATATAGTTTAAATATATTTTATCAACTTTATTAGTAAATAAGTTTAATTTTATTAAAAAGTTTTATAAAATAATTCAATTTTAAAATTAAGTTTAATTATAATATTTTTAAAATTCTTTAAAAGTTCATATCTTTGCTTATTTATTAATTGGATTGAGTCATTTTATAAAAAACTTATGAAATTTCTTAATAAATTATAAAATTTGTAATAATAAATTATTTTTATATAGATTTTATTTAAAAATTATACATTTTTATCTTTTAAGTAATCTTAAATTTTTTATTATATAATTAAAAGGTAAAAATTAATATAATATATAAGATAAGACATAATATAATAAAACTAAAAAAATAAACATTAATATTATTAAGAATTTTTAGAATTAAAAATTTAATTATTATCATCATAATTTAATTATAATTTAAAAGTTTTATAATAAATTATTTGTTATTTAAATGATATATATAAGTATTTTTATAAAAAATTTTAATATAAAACTAATTTATATCAATTATATAAATTCTTTCTTTAAATGCACATTTTTTCAACTTTTTCACTATAGTCCTAAAAGGAATGCATTTAGAAATGTCTCACTGTATATATTATAACTAATTTTAGCTTATATTGCAATATATTATAAATTTGAAATTAATTGCTACATAATTTTTAACATTAATTCAAAAAAAAATTTTTTTAAAATTTTATATCTTTTTATTATAAAGCTTCTTATGTAATATAAATGATTGTCATATCTAATAAATCTAACATATCTGTTATTTTTGATATTACTGATATATTTAATATAATTAACATATTAGATATATAGTATTACTTAGAAGAGGGTTAGAAATTACATAATTAGAAAAAGGGAGTAAGAAACTTTTATTGATCATACTTATATATAGAAATTTTTTATTTTATATTTATAATTTTATATACTATAATTATTATTATACAAATTAATCAAATTTATTATAATTAAAAATGCTGATAATTATTTATAATTAGATAATATATTTTTAAAATTTGAAACATATTTTTTAAAAAGATAATTATTTGATATATCTTTAAAATACGTGAGTTTTAAACATATAATAAATTTTAATAATGCTATATATAAACTATTATTTTGTGTTTAACTACAAAAGATAAAAGATAAAATAGAAAAATACTTATCACATAAATTGCAACAAAATCATTGATATAATTCAGAAAATATAAATAAATAATGCTAATGATATTTAGGGATTTTTAGCAAATTAAAATATTCTAAAATATGAAAAATGATTATCACAATCTTTAAAAATGGATAAAAGAAAATCATTATTTTGTGCTAATAATATAGAAACTGCTTTATAATATTTAGTTTGCATTATTATAAGTTATTACATTTGCAAATATCAAAAAAATAATGATAAATTTTAGTATAAGCTTCTATCTAAGACTAGGAATAGGATTCCGCAAAATTGAATCGAATCAAATATTTGACAAATCAAATCAAATCAAATCAA